AAAATATTGTAAATGCTAACGAGCAACTATTTATTACGGCATGATCACAATGTCAGGCTGCAACTTTTAATCATTTTTTTAAATTTATTTAATTTAAAATATACAGTAGTGGCCAAAATTAGAGTTACCCTTGACATATTTTTTTAATACGCGACCTCTATTTTGTTTACCACCGTAATTAATATTGTAATAGTTGAAGAAAGCACAAAAAGGAGTGAAAATACTCAATTGAATAAAACAGATTTTATTTTAAATCTGATTTACAAAAGAAAAAACGAAGTTTTTATATTATACACTGTGACAATGAGTGTTTATTTGTAACTTATAATACCTTGTATTGTCTGCATTGTGGATGTTTGTCAATGTTTAATTCTGAGTGATTAGTTTACTTTCTTTTCTTCTAAAATACATGCAATTGTAAGCAGCACCACCATTACATATTTAAAATATAATTTCGATTTCATAGTATTGTAGTCGTAAGAAAAAACACAACAGGTTATCTATCATGAGTGATCTTTCTTAATTTGTCTTGCGTAACAGTTGACATGGATGAGAAATCAAGAATTCCGGAAAATTGTTGATATATTGTACGGTACATGCACTAAATATAAAAAAACCAAAGAAATTTTTTACAATTTCTATTGTTTAAATTATTATTAAATATATTAACGTTTTTTATTAGAATTTTTAAGAAAATATTTTTAAAAATATCATCAAATCTAATTTATATCCACGGAAAGAATTATTTTTAATTATAATATTTCATATACAATACATGCAAATTATTTGTAAACTATATAATAAAGTCCAATCGACATCATTTTCACACTCTCAATTGCCAAAGAATTTAAGCACGACGTCAAACTAATATAAAAATGAACACAATTATGTCAATTTAAATGTCAAAGGGTATTTAATGTTACAATACCTGACGCCATTGTAGTTGTATATCACTTACGTTATTATATTAATATATCATAAAAGTTGATACTGAAATTTTCGTAATAATTTATATTTACGATATAAAAGATTTTCGAAAGTGTCTTACTGAAAAATCCGGAGATTTTTAATAAAGTGGAATGCATCGAAGGGAACCTCACTGAAGAGAATTTAGGAATTTCTTCTTCGGAAATGAATTTGATTACGAAGAATGTTTCGGTGGTGTTTCACTTGGCCGCTTCGGTTAAATTCAATGAACCTTTAAGGTACGTTTTGCATTAATTAAGCACATTAATCTGCGAGTTTCGTATTTATTTTTAATTTCTTTCGCAGGGATTCATTCGTCAACAATGTGGAATCGACGAAAAATCTAGCAGAAGTTTGTCGCAAAATGAATAATTTATTGGTAAATATTTTGATTACAAATAATTTTTGATGTACACAATTGGGTACAGAAATGTTTCGTATTTCAAAAACCTTTATTTGTTTCTATTTTTAAACTTAAATCAAATCAACACAAACACTATCTGTGATTTGTGAAAAACGTAAATTATAGGAAGCATTTTAATGCTATTGAAAACATCAGAAGAATTAATTAATAATTCTACAGTGAAGTATTTACTCTTTTCTATTAATTGATAACCCATTGAATCAATTTACATTAAAATAACAAAAAGTGAGAATACCAAGAAGTGTCGAGATGGGTATATTTTATTCAAACCTATTTCTTTTTATTAATTTAAATATAAAATGGGGCTTTCTTTAAATATGAAACTCTTGTATATTGTATGGTAACTAAGAAACTTTTGTACAAATATGTAAATACTAAAACTGAAAACACATTATAAAATAGCTTGTACGAGTCTATTAGTGTCTTATCAACTGTATTCCTTTATAAGTATTGAATACAATATACGTTGTATATCTTAATTTCAGGTATTCGTGCACACATCGACAGCTTACGCTTTCTGCAATAGAAAGGAAGTGGACGAAAAAATTTATACAATGTCCAGAACTTGTGAAGAATTTAAGAAAATCGCAAAGTATTATAGTATGACACTTTAAATGCATTTTTCAACATTGGCATCTTATTGATATTTTTCTAATTGTAGTCTAGAAAATATCGATTCAGCAAAGATAACAGAGGGAAATGTTTTCGAAGGTCGACCTAACACCTATACTTTAACAAAGGCCATAACAGAAAATTACTTAAATAACTTCTGTAGAGATTTACCTGTAGTTATCGTAAGGCCTTCTATAGTAGGTTGCACTTGGAAAGAACCTATTCGCGTAAGTAAATTTTATCATGTATTAAAGTAAATTAACCACTAATGTAAAAACGTTGTGAATTTCTTTTTCTAGGGATGGAACGATAACCATAGTGGTGCAGATTATTTAATTGCCTCCGTAAGTACATTTAAATACTTTTGGAGATGAAGAATGGATTAAAAATTACGTACTTTCAGGGATTAAAAGGAATACTCAGAAGCATATTAATCGACGAAGACAAAATTTGTGATTTTATTCCTGCGGACACAGTGATTAATTTGATGTTGGCTGCCGCTTGGAAAAAGGCGGCGATTCTTCATCAAAGGTTTTTTTTTTTTTTTTTTTTTTTTGAAAATTCTAAAGAAAATGTTAATTATAAAAATATTGTAAATGCTAACGAGCAACTATTTATTGTGATACTGTCACAATGCGAGGTTGCAATTTTTAATCATATTTTTAATTAATTTAATTTAATTTAAAGTATATCATCTCCACCCGAAATTAGTGGTATCTTTTCCTGTTAGCAATACAGTCGTACGAGTCATGTACCTAACTTTTTCCAGAGGAAAAATGTTCGAATTCAAATAACGTAACTTTCGGTTCGCATGAGAAGTTTATATATAATTAATCGGGTCCTCCTGAAGATAATATTTTCACTTCTTGTCTGAACTTTCATCTATCTAATTTGTTTCTCGAGATTGAGGAAAGACAGCCAGACATATGACAGTGAAAATTTATAGATATACAATTCTTAAATTGCAGCCCAATCAATATATTCGCGAAAGTTTTTTTAAATATGTATTAATCAAAAGTCTACAGTAGAGCCTCGATTATCCGACCCAATTGGGTACTGGGGTTGGTCGGATAATTGAAAAGTCGGATAACCGAAAAGTATGAAAAAATCCATTATTAGTGTAGTATATTATTATATCCCATGTAATTAGTATATTAGTATATCGCTATTAACCTACTTCGCGTTGAATTTTCATCGATGTTAAGCCTAACAAAAATTTTTTAAAATAATAATCGTCGCTATTGTATCGTTAAAAATTAGAAAATTAAGCCTCGTTTAAATACTAGCTCCCTTTCATGGTCGAATGAGTGTTGCCAGCTAAAACACGTAAAAATAATATTAAAGTAGCCAAGACATAGCCAAATATTGTAGCGCCACATCACTAGCGGACATTTGAAATTTGCCGACTAGGACGGTCGGTTAACCGAGGTGTCGGTTAATCGGTGGTCGGATAATCGAGGCTCTACTGTATTTTTATTCCAATGAAACCGTGTTTTTTATTTCCTTTTGATTTTCATAGACACAATGTAGTGACACTTTTTAAACACTTGGCAGATTATTCAAATATCAACTTAATAAATAATCTGCCAAGTGTTTAAAAAGTGTCACTACATTGTGTCTATGAAAAGCAAAAGTTTTATATTAGTTCAATAGTCTTATAAATCACAATCGTTCCTATATATTAGGAAAAGAGATACTTTTGTCCTTAATAATTTCACTTCATACGAATTTTTAGACATTAGCAGACAAAATATATTTATATTAAATTATCCCTTAGTGGAATGAAGTTGGAAAATATTCTGAAGTAAATTAATACATAAATTTAAAATATATTAATTATTTATATCCCAACTTGAAAATATTAATTCGTGTAATTTCGTGCGGAATCTTATATAACTTCTAGACACATTAAAGAAATTCTGTTTGCTATTCTCTTTGCAGAGAAGATGAAATCCCAGTTTACAATTGCACTTCAGGATATATAAATCCTCTTACATATCGGAAGTTTCTGCAGTGTTTGTATTTCCATTCTTGGAATTATCCATCGGCGAACACATTTTTATATCCAACAAAAATGGCCAAGAAGAATTATTATTGGAATCGTGTTTGCGTTGTTTTGCAACATCAATTTCCTGCAATGTTAACCGATTTATTTCAAGTTGCTGTTGGCAGGAAACCAAAGTACTGTACTGTACATTGTTTTAAATATGCTTAAGTATTATATATTAAATAATATATATATTAATTAATTTATTTGTTTTTTGTAATTAAGGATGATGAATGTATACAAAAACTTTCAAAAGATGGTGGATGTGTTAGGACATTTTTACAATAAAGAATGGAACTTTTGTTCTAATAATATGGAAAAATTGATAGAAGCAATGTCAAGCGAAGATAGACAGGTAGGATTATTTTACAACTGTTGTACGTAACATCTTATTACTACCTACATAGATATTTACAATCGAATTTGCACTGTAGACAACCAAAGCTTATGAATTAAACTTTGAAACAGTTATGATAATGAAGTTTATAAAAGTAACTTTAAAAAGAACATTAAATTAATGTTAACGATGATTCCATATCTACCATTAACACCAAAACATACGCAGGAACTTAGTAGGATACCACGAAAAGAATGCAACAGTATAATGAATTGATTACAGTAGCAAGAATTCTTTATAAGTAAGCAAATACAGATATCTGCATCAAATTTTTCCATAATACTGTACTTGTAAATTGAAATCCTATAGATTGCAGTGAGCTTTTCCAAGCAGTGAAAATGTCAGTTGAGATGGAGTAATATTGCCGCTTTGGATACCAAGGGGATCCAAAATGTTCTCTAAATACAGCCCTTCAAAAGCATGGTTTCAGCCCCGGTTTGGTTTAAAGTTCGGATTAGTAATTTCTTAAGATTCTGATCTACAGTAGTACTAAGCTCTATATAAAAGTCAAATTTCTTGTATGGGATGGACACAATTTTGTTCACCTAATTTAAAGTTTAATAATTCCTGCGTCTTTTGTCGAAAATTTCTGAAATTTTTCAGGGAGGGATTTGTATTAGTAAGATTGATGCTGTCAAAATTTGGTGGTTAGAGGTGTACGGGTAGGGAGATAGAGGGGAGTCGCGTGTCTCATCTCCAATGGTGTTGGACTTAATGGAGATTTCACTCGTTAGTAGCATTTAAACTTTTTGTGTAAAACTCGCATTACCTTCAAAACTAAGCTATATTTTCTATTGCATAATAATTAATTATATAAAAGATTTTAATAAAATATGATAACAGATGGCTTCAGACCTAATTTCAAATGTTACCGGGAAATTTACTCATCTCGTTGCTGGCTTTTCTCTTTTAGGAAGGACTAAAGAAACAATTTGAACGGATTATGCATGCTTACATACATATATAAAAGTTATTATGTTTTCTAAAGAGACTGCATATTTAAGTTTGAAAACAATTGACTAAACTAACAATTGTAAGTATTTGAGAGCACTAAAACATTCTGAACAGAATAGCACATTTACGTGACAAATACATAAAATATACTTTGTTAAGGTTTATTGCTATCAGTGTGCATCACACTTCGCGAGTTTTTCCACGAATACCGGAGATTACAGATAATCGAGTGCCAAATTAACGAACTCCTACTATAGGTTTATCAGCTTCGTCGTTGGTGAGAAAGGGCTTTCTGTATAGTCCATTGTCGACGACTTTACACCACCAATCCATTTTCCACCATTTGGACCTCGAGGTCCTTCCAAAGGCAGCAAGGCATTTCGACCTTGTTTTATGCCCTATTATTATTATTGCTAGCACAAAGGTAAGCAACGAGCATATTATAATCTTGAATCAGCTGACAAACAGTACAAATCGAAAGTTTATAACACAAAGCTTTAAACATTTTCGTTTATTTCTGAATAACTTCTGAATCGCTGTTATTAGAGCTTATATAATTATAATTGAAGAAGAAATTACCAATTCAAAAATTTACTATTGATTTCTTCTTTATGCTCCATCAAATTGTAAGTTTTGGTTTGTTCTTTCTATCATGGGATATGGTGAGGTCACGAAATTGTATGCCACCATTGCATGCAAATAGTTTTATTGAGTAAGAGCAAGAAAATTACTTGCAAAATGTACAAAATATCGAAATTTTATTCCAGAATTTCGACTTTGACATCTCGAAACTCAATTGGGACGATTACTTGGATGACTACGTTTTGGGCATCAGGAGATTTGTATTAAAGGAAGATGACTCGACCATTCCTCGAAGTAGAAAACGATTGTTAATGTAAGCATCTATCTACATTTTTTATCTCAAAATAAAATAATTTTTAACATAATCTTATATTTTACAGGAAATATTATTCCATTTTACTTGCCCAAACTGGATTGTTTTTTGGATTTCTTTACAGTCTCACCTTTTTATCATTGTAATGTTTCTAAGAAATGCTTTACTTTTCTAGAGGATAATATATTATATTACATTTTAATGATATTACTTTCTCACGATGTAAATCGAGACGTTACTCCTGATATTGATAAATTGATTTCTGTTTTCGAATGTAAAAAACTATAAAGAAGAGAGATATATTAAAGATTAATATTTTTCATCCAATTTTAGAAACTTTTATTTTATGGATGATTTTCAATAAGCAATATACCAATAAAATAGAATTTTAATGGCTAAGAATTGTAAAAGTTTAGTCTGAGCTGTAAGCAAAGACAATTCGGGAGTTATCGATCCCCTGAAGCGATAACTCAACTAAATCTCTCCCAATTTTTACCAAATTTGGCAGGTTAGTGAATAAAACAAGAGGAGGGGAATCGCTGATTATATTTTCACAAATATCCATTGAACATTTAACTAATTATTTAAAATAAACCACTAAAAATGCAACTAAAGTCTAAATTTATACCATAAGATAGCGACACAGTGTCGAGCTAGCCTGCTAGGTATTGTACGTAAACATTCGGGTATGTCAAATAATTAACACTCGCAGAAACGTTATCAGAAAGGTCAATACAATTTCTTATTCTTATGCGCTTTATCTGGTTTTTAAAAAATTTATTTATTTTCTATTAGAAAATCCCTAACACCCAAATCCCGTGCAAAATTTTAAACGTTTTGACAAAACTCACAGGAGTTGTTAAGCTTTGTGTTTTCAAAAATTCTGTCCTCCATACACACTAACATCAACACAAAGATAAAAACACCCAATTTTTTATTTCATTTTTTTGACGTTTAAATGTCCTCCTAGACAAAATAAATGTGTAAAATGGGATAAGCCATTTTTTGAACGATCGCCTTGTGTTACATTGTTAGAAGACTTTCGCAGTATTTTTCGATCGCTTTGCCCACTTTTTCAACATAGATTATTTAATAATAATAATAAATTCTTTTATAATATAAGATATAGATCATCAATTTAAATTCAATTTTTTAAATTACACGGGTTCCAGACATTTCAAGTACCAATTTATGAAGTTTTACGTGTTACAGACATTCTGAAACTGTCAGTTTTCGAATATTTGTGAGTTCCTGACGTTCCAAAATTGTCAATTTTTCAAATTTCCTAAACTGCAGATATTCCAAAACTTTATCTGTAAGATAAAGTAAATAAAAAGTTCATATTTTGTTATCAAGATTTAAAGCATTAATCAGGATTTAAAGTAAAACTTAAAGCATAACAGTACAGTTCGTCCTATGTTGTACTTAAATGTTTTGATGAATTTACCGAAAAAAATTATATAAATATAGCTGCATCACCGTTACATAGTACTCAATGATCTTCTATTTATTAATCTTCATCTTTTATACTAAATAAATAAAAATATTTGCAGACCTCTCGGGTGTCTTCAGTAAAAATGAAAAAATATGCGATTTATTAAAAAATTAATGTGTGTAAAACGTAACGTACGTTAATGAATATTTTTATTATAATCGACTTTTACCATTTTCTGCTAAATTTTTGTAGTAATATTTAAATTATACAGTTAAAACAGAAAAACTGGAATTTCTGGATTTTGGAAATTTATCAAAAACTGTCCTAGAACATACATTTTTGTACTGTACACTAGTATCACTGTATTTATCATGTTGATTAAATATCGATTTAGCATCAATTCATAAGCATAAACATTCACGATTTCAAGTAATAAATAATCCAATATGGACAATTTTAGTTTTATAATAATACTTAAGAACGTAAATTATGCATCAGTAACATTCATTCGAACATTCCACGTATTCTCAATAATTCAAGCAAATACTTCTTGCACAAGGCAAATGCTAGCATAACGCACTTAAATGGAATGAGGAAACAGTACAAAATATTCCGGACTTTATGACAAAAGTGAATTTACTAATCAGTTCGTATTTTCCTTAAACACGAAAAGTATAAAACTTTGTTGAGATGGAGAATCAGAAAATGTTCTGTATCCGATGCATAATCGATCTTCTTTGCGAAATTATTCGATTTTATGGAATCGAAAGTTTGGCAACTTGTTCTCATTTGCCTTCACGATCCAATAGAATGGGAAAATTTTGCTCTCAGATTATGGAATTTCTAATGTGGATCAACGCCGCTACGTATATTCTGATGATACTGTTTTATAATAGTACAGTACAATACGAATACCTTATGTATCGTGGATGAACAAATATTCAGAAAATAAATTCGTGTTTCTGGTGTATCTATTTATTCTCTCTTTCATGTTATCCGCCGTATTTTCTATTATGCGCCGCAAGTTGCTTATTTTCTCAATACAGACAAGTTATGCGGAAGAGAAGTACAAAATAGAAAATATCATCAACGTTGTTCTGAAAATACAATTGTTAATTACTATCTTTCTTGGGGTAGCTAATTCATCTATAGCTATTATAACAGAATATTTCAATATTTATAAAGCCGAGCGAAAAACAAGGGTGCTGATCTGCACCACGTTCATGGTAACGATTGATTGTTACATATATGGTTATACAACAGTTAATGTCATGTTATTCTTCGTAATCGTGACCATCATTAAAAACCGTTTTATAGCATTGTCTAAAGAATTACAAAATGTTAAAAATGATCGAGCGTATGCAGAATTACAAGTAATAATAGTAAAGCATACAGAATTAATGGAACAGGTCCATCGCTTGAATGGTAACGATTGATTGTTACATATATGGTTATACAACAGTTAATGTCATGTTATTCTTCGTAATCGTGACCATCATTAAACACCGTTTTATAGCATTGTCTAAAGAATTACAAAATGTTAAAAATGATCGAGCGTATGCAGAATTACAAAGTAATAATAGTAAAGCATACAGAATTAATGGAACAGGTCCATCGCTTGAATGACTATTATAAAAATTTCATATTTTTAATATATAATTTACTAAACTGGTTGATTGCCATCGGTGTTAATTCTTTCCTGACGGCTAGAGAATCTGGCATCATATACAATTTGATATCAATTATTTTTCTTGGCATCTACATGGCTGGATGGCTTTATTTTATCTTCACTATCTCCACTGTTTCCTCTGCTATATCATGAAGAGATTCGGAAAGATTCTTCTCGGCATGACCTGTGGCAATTTCTTCGTCATCACCAGAAAAACTCCCTTAAAGGTACGAATTTCTAGAATTATGAGTAAATTTCAATTCTATGTTTTATAATGGTTTAATATTTCAGGTGAGCGAAGCGCTACGTTCTGCATTTTCTACCATTTGCGATCTACGAAAATCATCGCGTCGTTGTCGTACTTCGACTCTAACGTTCTAAAGAAAGACGTATTCTCTGATAATTTCACTTTTCTTATAAAATCTTATAGTTAATTTCAAATTAAATACTGCCATGGTTGATAGTGATTATTTACGTAAATACAATCATCACACAAGTAGTGTAGTTATTATTTGCATGAATTACATTAACTACTGTACATTATTACATAACACGCTATCCATAAAAACTAAAAATGTTTTATGGAATAACAAAAAACACTAAATAAGCATTACAATTCAACACTTTTGATGTCTTTGTACTAAATTAAAAATATCTAATGCAAAAAGTAGTCGAGTGTTTTGTTGTATCGCAATGTGCAGCGCAGCAACATCAATTGTTTATTAGTTTTTTTATTGCAATAATTCTTTCACGTGTAAACATAAATATTGTTTAAAATGATTAATAAAATTAACTTTATACGTTTTAATTTTTGATTTTTTTCGTTCTTAATGAGACAGAGGTGAAAAATGCAGAGGCTGGAGACAATCTGATCAGTTTAATTTGCATAAACAGTTGCCTTATACTTACAATAGAGAGGTTGCGGCCGTCGTATTCGGCCCATAACGTGAACGGCGGACGGTCGAGCGCCGCCATCTGGCAATTCTAGACGGTCGAGAATGACGTTCGCTACGTCTAGCGTGGCGAGTAGAAGATCGGTTTAAACTTCTTCATTTTTTTGTGTTTGGGGTTAAAACTATAACGTATTTTATTAAAATAACGGTTATTTAATCATTTCCGAATAATATTGTAAAGAAACGGACGATTTTAATACAGAAATTATTTAATTATTCAAATTTTTAGCAAGCGATGCGAAGTGCCTATAGAATTTACATATATTTGCCTTGATAATAGCGTATCGTAAAGTAGGTTTGTACTTCCACGGCATCTTCTACCGTCAACAGCGTAACACGTTTGTAAATTTTCTAAAAATTAATTTTCCGAGCTGATTTCGAACTTACATAAGCCACTACTTCCCTCGACAGAAGTATGAAGTAATCCGATCGTACGGTAGGAGACACAACTCTAATTAAAAATAATTATTTAGGGTTATGAGAGAAGAAAAAAAGCATTATTAGCTAAATATAATCATGGAATTCTTTTTGGATGAAGATGGAGTCTTCTATCATAGAAAAAGAAATACACCTCGAGTTGAAAACAATGAGTTATACCGCACGTACTGATGGAATACATATAACGAGCACGAACATATCTCGATAATCCAACAGCAGGTCATTTGGGAACGAAAAAAAATATGAATAAGGGTATTAGCAATTATTGCCAAAGCTGTCAACGTTGCGCTGTGCAAAAAAAGAAGAGACGAGCATAACTACAATTATTTTCAAGATTAACGCACTTATTTGAAAGAACTGCAATTAACATTTTGGGCCCCTTCCCCGTCTCTACTCCTGGAAACAAATATATTTTGGTTTTCGTCGACACTTCAGTCGGCATACGAAACCTGTACCATTACCAGGTGTACGCAGCAAAATTATCACAAAGGCATTTGTTACCAATATCATTTTCAAACATTCAACACCAGTTCAACTTCTCACAAATTGTGCACCGAATTTAATATCTAAGATGTTGAAGGAAGTATGCGATTTACTCCATATAAAGATATTGCATACTATAGCATATCATCCAGCATGCAATTAAATTGTTGAGTGATTTAGTAGAACAGTCATCGATATTAACAGGATTGGGACGAATGACTTTCATATGTTCTATTTACGTATAATACGGCAATACACGCATCTACGAATGGCAGCCCGTTTTACTTATTATACGCTGGGATCCTATAAACGGGTGCAACGATAAACAAACTTAAACAAGCGCGTGTCT